ATACAGCCTGTCTGTAAGCAAATACTTTAAGAGCACTTGTTAAATTAATGTGTTTTCTCCAAATATCCAGTAAGGTATTAACTGAAAGACTTGCCTAGGAACAGTCTACTAAAACCACACACTTTATTTCCAATCTTCACTTTGCCCTGACAATACATGCTATCCCCATTTTACAAGACAACCCTAAATGATTTATATCAGGAAATACAATTAGGAATTTTGAGAGCTATGTTTTGAACCCAATCTTTGTCTATGTTAAATCCTGTTGCTACCACCCAATGAGATCTGATTTTTAGCTCAAACCTCACAGCTCCTGTGGAAAAAAGCACATTCGGTTTAATAAATAAAACTCAAGTAGATCTGAAGTTTGGAGGGACTGGTTCTTTATTTCAAAAAGACACTTGTCAATATTCAGTATCAAAACAGTTGCACTATTGTTTGTCTTTCTCCCAACTGGCCCCAAAGAGACCACAACAAAGGAGAATACATTTTAAGCCAATAAGCTGCAGGATGTACACCTAACAGACCTCATGAAACCTCACCTAAAAAAGTGGGGATTGGGCTGGGAAAGAAACTTTGAACGTTCAGCACTCTGCCAGCCCAGACTGCAGGACTCTCAGCCAGACGAGGTGGCCAGGTACCCCACCCCAAAGATGCAGTTTCAAAATAATATAAAATTTAAAAAGTTGTGTACATAAGCTATTCAAGATTCTCCAGCACTGACTGATACAAAGCACAATGAGATGGCACTTTTAGATACAGCAGCTTCAGACCCAGAAAAGGGTGATGAGATGAGTTCATATAGCTAAATCAGTGGCCAAAACATAATTTTCTTTCTTTCTTTTCTTTCAAGCAAGCAGGAGAGCAATTAAGTGGTCACGCAAGATTAAGGGGCCCATGATCCATTCTGTGAACACTTGGGAAGTGGGTAGAGATGGGAGAAAAATTTGGTCTCAGGGCTAAGAATATGGCTCAGTGGTAGAGCATTTGCCGAACAAGCACGAGGCCCTGGGTTCAATCCCCAGCACCAGAAAAACAAAAAGTCTCAGAGGTCTCACCATGTTAATTTGGTCATTTCTGATGAAAAAAAGTAAAAAATAAGAATACAGTTGTCTAAAGATACCTTAAAGCTAAAAATAAAACAAAACCTGAATAGCAAGGTTTTTGTTTTTTGGCGAACTCCTCTTGGAATCACCTTTCTGGTTTGGCTGGTACTTTGCACAGAGCAATGAGGTTTGCCACAGTAGAGTCTTTCCCTGGGCTCTGTTTGGCTCTCAGTAAGGCAGGCCCATTCCTCTTTTCCTCCTCTATGGAGAGGGCAATAGGGACTAGGCTGGAAAGTTACCTTCCAAAAGTGAGAAGGGAATTAGATTGCTGCTTCAGAGCTATGAAATTATTTGGAATGTTTTACAAATGGTTACTGTAACAACAAAAAAAGTAATTACAAAATGTGTACATCACAACATGCTTTTAAAGACACTTTGCGTTGTGCTCACATTCCCTTAAATGCTGTTCCCAAAAGTGCTCAGCCTCTAGCCCAGCTGGAATCTCTGGGAAGAAGCAGACACAGTTTGGTGAAAAAGACAAGGGGGTAGGGGGTAGGGGGGGTGTTGAAAGGAGAAAGCAGCCTTCCAGTTAAAGATCAGCCCTCAGTTTCAAGGTCAGCTTCGGGCTGGCTGGCCTCAGGCGGAGTCAGGGTCAGAGGGAGGAGCAGCAGCAGGGCGGGACTGGGGAGCTCTACATCTCATTCAGGTCAAGCAGAGTCTGGTCCAGCATCCTTTGTGTACAGAGGTGCTCCTCTTTGGTGCATTTCAGCTTATCTAATGGGGATAAAGGAGAGAAGTTATCAAAAGTAAATTTCCGGGTCTGTTCACTCTCTGGACTTGGTCCTGCTTCAGGGAAGCTGCAGACTAAGAAAGCAGCTGCCTTCTCAACCACAACAGTGAGCCATTGCCTCACTGGGTTTGTGCAGGGCCCCTGGCTTGCCTACTGAAGTTGCAAAGTTGTTAAGTAGCTGTACTTCCTGGGGGAGGGAGTGGAGGACCTTATCAGCCATTTCCTCTCCCTCCCACACCCAACCAAGGCTTTCAATTTCAGTCACTGAAGGAGCAGGCCTGAAGCTTCAGCCATCCACTCTTCTAGGTTTTGTGCAGGGAACAAATATCTGCTTGAAGAGGTCCACTGCAGTCTAACCGTTGCAAACAAGGATGGACATATTTCTACCAGTGAAACACCAGAATCTCAACTTGAAAAGAGCATAGGAAATCCTCATGTACTACATGTTTTCTCTAAAAAGTAAAGGGGAAAGAAATAGTTGGTGGGATAAATAAACAAGCCCTCATGGCTAAGCCAAAGAAAACAAAGCCAAGAATACTATCTAAACATATACTTAGTTTTTGCAGAGCCATTAGCCAGAACTAGCCTGTGACAAGTTACTTGCAATTAAACATAAAACCAGGAAAAGGAAGCAAGAAGGGAAATATTAGGAAGAAAACTGGTGGCTAACCATCAAGGAGCACCTCATCTATTAAGCAAGCAAACCTGAGTGCTCTAAGGAGGGGAGGAAAATATTCAAACCTTCACTCAGAGAAGGTGATGGCAACAAAGATCCATATTCATATCCCACACCCTTCTTTCCCTTCCCTTTTTTCCACCCAGTCGGAAGGGCCCATCCTTGAGCCTGCAGATGAAGCAGTTACAACATCTTGTAAAGTCAGTCTCTTTATTGTTAGAAAACATCCATGCAAAAGAACATATCCTATAGTCAGTGCACACATGGAAGAGCAGCAGTGAAACGGGAGAAAAGTTTTCACTATAATCTCAGGCCCTTTCCTTCATAACTCATCATCTCTTTTAAAGGGATAAAAATGCAGTATCCAACTGTTCTAACTTAACAATGCTGTTAGGAAATCAACAGTGTTCTAACTGCCCCAATTAAAAAACAACTTGCTTAGGGCAAAATAATAACTTTTTAAAAGACAATCAGTTTTTTTTGCTGGGGTCCAGGTCAGTGGTTTACTGGGCATCTGTGAGCCCTGCCCATCAGTCACACAGATCATGCAGCGTTAGCTTCAGCTCATTAGAAAGCAGGCGGTTTCGCTCAAGTTGGCTGTAGAGACGCTCTGCAGCAGCAACGGAGAGGAGGGAAAACAAGAGAAGGAGAGGAGAAAGAGGAGGAGAAAGAGAAAAAGGGAAGGTTAGTAAAGTACCAGAAGTAAACCTGAGTCTTTCAACTAGCTGGTTGGTATATGTAACATGCATCTGTAAGGTAGGATGGATGCAAGGAGGACTCAGACAGAGGGCAGCAAGAGTCAGTCAGTTGGTGGAAAGACCAACAGAGAAATCAGAAATTTGGACTGACAAGTTGGTTGGACAACATTTTGAGGGAGAAAAAAATCACCTCCTTCACTGTATTTATTCCCTGGGTTGAGAAACTGAGACAAGTGAAAACAGGGCAAAGAGGGAAGATGCGTTGGCTTAGAAGAAATGCATTAATAATAACCAGGGTTTGAAGGGAATGGAACGGTTGAACATTTTGCTGTAAAAGCATTCAACACAACATTACACATAGCAGATTGGGATAAATATTCCCACCCACTCAAGTCTACATTTTTTTTTCCTGGGGCGGGGGGGGGGGTTGCTGGAGATTAAACCCAAGGGTGTTTTACCACTGAGTCACATCCCCAGCCCCCCACCTTTTCTTGAAGTGCTGGGGATTGAACCCAGGGCCTTGTGTATACAAGACAAGCACTCTACCAACTGAACTATATCCCCAGCCCCTTTTTATTTTGAGAACAGGGTCTTACTAAGTTACTGAGCATCTCGCTATGTTCTGGCTACAAACTTATGATCTTCTCACCTCAGCCTCCAAACTCTTTGGGATTACAGGTGTGTGCTACTGTACCCAGACAAATGCTTTTTCTTGTGTGATAAACCCATAAGAGGCCTATCCAATCCATATCAATTTTCCCTTATTTTCTAAATAAACAGTGTGCCTAGTCCATGAAAAGATCTACTACTGGTATACATCAGTCAAGACTACTCTGCTCCTTATTTTCATCCTCCTTTCCAGCTATAGGTGATCACAGGATCCAGTTCTGGCCAATGAGATATAGAGGAAGAATCTGCTGGGAACTTCTTAGAAAACTTCAGCTCTCCTTCTTGCCTTAAAAATGGGAGCTAATTATTTTAACCTTAAGAGAATCAAAGAAACTCCAGCTATATCTTGACTATAGTCATTCATAGCTAGACCTATTAAGTGACAAAAATAAATCCCATACTTATTTATGCTACCATAATGCTTCTTCTTATAACTCAAATCATTCCTGATACAAAGAGTAAGGTGCTCAAGTCCACTGGCTTTTTTTGAGTACACCTTATGGGGGAATTGAGTTATACGGAATTCAGATACATCTTAAAACACTCAATTCTGATCTACTTCTAATATCAGCCTCTGAAGTTCATTAGTAAGTTTCTTCATATTTTATAGCTTGTTTCAAATTGATCTCAGAACCTCAATATAGAAAAGAGAAAAAGGCAAAAAGATCAGGGTGGGGACTACCAGACCAGATATTTTAACCCCAGGGTAAATGATGTCACTGAGAGAGATGGGTGGCAGCTGACAATGATGATGCCCTCAAGCTGAGAGCCTGATGAGGACCTGGAACTGACACCCCAACACTTTTCATCGTCTGCTGATCCTCTGTATTTTCCTCACAGCTCCCCAACTCTACAGCCACATCTTGACTCTGGTGAGAGCCACAACTTCCCCTTATGACCTTCTCCTCACCCCAGGAAGAGCCTGCCTTGATTCCTGATCTGATCACCGTGGTCTGAGTGAGTGTGCATGCATGCATCTGCTAGACTTAAAGCCTAAAGCTTGAGACTTTTGATCTGACACTTGAACTTAGCATGCAGAAGAAATGTCTGTCATTAGCCTGTCATGATAATTGTGTTTGCAGTGCTTAGAATTAATCTAGAATTGTTTGCTGTGAAGTGATTATGTCTACTGCAGTGCCTAGCATTAAGGATTGACGTTTTCTTGAATAAGAACCTATAGAGTGAAACTGTATTGAATGATTTAAGTGAATAAAGCATTGACTAGGGCAGAAGCACATGGACATTCTTTATTTCTCCCTCTGGACTGCATAAGTTGCACCTTTTGCCCATCACAACAGCACACTATCAACACAGAAAGCATGCATATATATAAAAAAAGAGCCTGAGAAGGAATGACACTACATTTAAGAGCAAAATTAGGGCTGGGAACAGTGGCCCATGCTTATAATCTCAGTCTTAGGAGGCTGAGGCAGAGAGAGAGCAAGTTTAAGGCCAGCCTCATAACTTAGGGAGACTGTCTCAAAAAACAAAACCTCAATGGCAGAGCATTTGCCTATCAGGCGTAAGGACTGGGTAGAATCCCCAATAGGAAGAGTTGTGGGGAGGCAGAAATCAGGGTAGACTTCCTTTATTGTAATGCTGAGTACTGAACCAAGGGCCTCAAGCATGCTAGACAAGCATCCTGCTTCTGAGCTACACCTCCCTTCCCTGGAGCTTTTTTATTTTTCACATTTTTGGTACAAGGGATTGAACCCAGGGGCACTTAACCACTGAGCCACATCCTCAGCTCTTTTTATTTTGAGACAGGGTCTCACTGAGCTTCTTAGGACCTTATTAAGTCACTGAGGCTGACCTCAAACTTGCAATCCTCCTGTCTCAGCCTCCCATCTCAGCTTCCTGAGTGGCTGGGATTACAGGCATGTACCGTCACTCCTGGACCCTAGGACTTTTAAAATTTCACCCATTAAACCAGTGTGTGTTTTTTTTTCTGTTTCTGTTCTAACAGAAAAGACAGGGTTTTGTTATGTTGCCCAGGTTAGCCCCAAACTACTGGATTCTAGTGATTCTCCTGTCTCACCTTCCTGAGTAGCTGGGGACTACAGATGACTGCCACTGGCTAAGAACCAGTGGTTCTTATTGCCCCTCATCTCTCCCAGAGAATATGGAAATATATACTGATAGGTTTTTACTGTCTCAATGACCGGAAGGCTCTAAGGTAATTACTAGCCAGGGGACAGAAATATGCAGGGTCATTTTTATGTTCAAGAATTGTCCTACCCTAAATGACAAAGCTTACCATTGAGAAGCTCAGTACTAGTCTATAAACTCTAAGACTTCTGGGGCTGCACTAGTCTAATTGCTATTGCATCCTTGATAAACTTGTAAACTCTCATTTCTCAAACTGTGATGTCATATTATACATAGATCTCATTTATATCCACATTAGTTTGTGGGATTCCCACTCCTGTCTCAGGAAAGAAGGGTATTATTAAGATCTTATCCCTCAAAACAGCTTGGTTAATGAGGGTTTTGTTCCATTTAGGGAAGAAATAAAGAGACACAGGGGTGGGGTGTGAGTATTTTATTGCTTTACTAAATAAATCCAGAATGCAGAGTTCCCTAAAAACTAAGGTCAGAAAGACAAATGTCAGTTGTCATCTCACCTTGAACTTAGCTTTGAACTCTGCCCTAATAACTGGAAATTCAGGATTGGATACTAGTTCATTAAGGTTCTTGGGTCCCAGGAAACAGTAAAGCAACACAAAACAAGGCAAAGCAGAGAACCCATTGGGTCTGGTAGTTTAGCAATGCCCTATTAGAGAATCATCCTCTGGAGCCAGGCAATATTTGAACAATATCCCATGAAAGGAGGAAACTGGTGTGGGCTAAGGTAAGCCTGCGGAACATAGCAGGTCAGTTCCTCCCTTCAGATACCTGGGTTCAGCCACACTTTGTTCCTCATCGAAACTACAGGAATAGCCTGTGGTTCCTGGAGGGGAAGAAGTTAAGGGGCCAAGTGCTTTGGTTCGATGCTTAGCCTTAACCTCACAGCTAGTCCAGGCTCAAGTAATAAAGGATGGCTCCTTAAAGGATACAGAGCATTAAAAGAGGAATTTTCATTAACACTGGGCACTACATGGTATTTTGTGTTTTATTCCACTGCCCTAGCTTGTAGGGCTATCTTTGCTCACAATAGTCCTGCCCGTGGGATAAAGTAGGAGCTACCAAAGCTGAAATACCTCCCTTTTCTCTCAATCTCTATTCTCTTCTTTCCTTTCTAAGAAATATTTTTCTGCACCAAAGCCAAGTTCTGCTCAAAAATACTAAATGTCTAGAACTGCACTGGTCCAATAGAGTAACCACTAGACACATGTGGCTAATTAAATTGAAATGAACTAAAAATAAATGAGAATTTTAGCTATCTCATATTCTAGCCTAGCCACATTTTGAGTGCTTTTCAACCACATACGGCTAATGACTACCACTATACCAACCATCACTGCCAAACGGGCAATACTGCTATAAGCTATCCATACTGCCTATACACCTTCTTTCCATCAGTATGCTTCTGCCCCTTGAATCTGGTTTCTCCCCCTGGGACCTAAATGCTCAAATGTACCCTTGAATTATTAGAGTATCAATGAATGACCTTTCTTCAATTACCTTTATTTCTCAACCTATCTGCTGACATTAAGAATCCCTTTTATTTTGAGAAAGAGTATTGCTAAGTTGAATCCCATGCTAAACTTCTTCAAGGACCAAAACTAAAACTAGTTCCATTTGGCATTCTCTTCAACACATGATTTTCCTCTTTAACTCTATTTACATTGCAATTGTCCTTTATGCTTGTAATGTGCTTCCATGCCCTAAACGATCTATGCCCTTTTGGATCCCCAAACCTCTCACATCAAGCTCTCCCCTTTGAGCTTCAGCATCTTTTTACCTGCCCTGCCAATGTTTTGATATATTCTTCTCTCCTTTTTCTCCTGGCTCCCCAAACCAGGATGGCGAGACCTCCTTACATCTCTAACATCACCATTTTCAAGTTTTAAAACCAGGCACCTAGGGCTGGGGATATGGCTCAGTTGGTAGAGTGCTTGCTTGCCTCTCATGCACAAGGCCCTGGGTTCAATCCCCAGCAAACACACACACACAAAAAACAGGCACCTTGACTTTTCCTTCTTACGTTTAGGGGTCAGGCTCTTCCAAATACCCATCTTCAGTGCCATAACCCTATCGCCACTCTAGTTCAGACCCCAATTACTCTCCTGGTAAACCACAATAACTTAACCAACCAAATATTCACCTAAGTATGGGAAATTTATTGCCAGTACTGTGTATGTAATAGTATGTATTCAAACAGTATGTACCTGTAAACTTATATATTATTTATATATTCATTTATCCCCATCCCCACCCCCACCCCGTGGTACTAGGGATTGAACCAGAGGTGTTCTACCACTGAGCTATATCCTTAGACCTTTTTATTTTTTAAATTATTATTTTTTGTGGTGCTGGGGATTGAACCCAAGGGCCTTGTACATGCGAGGCAAGCACTCTACCAACTGAGCTATATCTCCAGCTCTTAGCCTTTTTTATTTTGAGAAAGGGTATTGCTAAGTTGAAGTTACCAAGGCTGGTCTCAAATTTGCAATCCTCCTGCCTCAGCCTCCCAAGTCTCTGGAGCTATGGTTTTTTTTTCCTTCCCTTTTTAATGTGCATTAGGAAAAGACATTAGCACATTAAACCTTTTAATTTCAAAACAATTGTGTAGAGTAAGAATGCACCAAACTTAAAAACAAGAGTAGATTTGAATAATAAAGTAGGCAACATGCAAATATGGCAAATGTCATAAAAATGGTATGCAAATGACTGAGAATTGAAAGTCATCATTTTTATTTTTTGGGGGGGCAGGTATTAGGGATTGAACTCAGAGGCACTCAACCACTGAGCCACATCCCCAGCCCTATTCTATATTTTACTTAGAGACAAGGTCTCACTGAGGTGCTTAGAGCCTTGCTTTCTGCTTGAGGCTGGCTTTGAACTCATGATCCTCCTGTCTCAGCCTCCTGAGCTGCTGGGATTATAGGCATGTGCCACCTACCCAGCAAAAATCCAATCTTTTGGAACCCAGTGAAAATGAAGAGGCATTTTTTTTTAAGTTGTCAGTGGACAGTGACCTATCTATCTATTTATATGAGGTGCTGAGAAGCAAACCCAGTGCTCACACATTGGCAAGCACTCTACCAATGAGCTACAGCCTCAGGCCCCAAGAGGTAAGTTTGAACATGTTTATTCAGTATCAACTGTGTGCCTTCTATCATGAGTCTTTACTAACCAAATCATTCCCACTGGAATCAATCTCTTCCCACCTCTGAACACCCGCAGACTTTATTATCTATGGCACTCATCTTTATGCGTGTTTTCTTTCTATTACTAGAGTTCAAACAACCTGAGACTGGGGATGGTGACTCCATCTTTGTGTCCTCACCCTAACCCTACATCTAGAAAATACCAATGTGTCTGCTGGATAAATCAATCTAGTGGCAGAAGAAATGGTATTGACAGAAAGAAAACTAAATATGACATGAAACTTGAAGTTTTAAAACTAGAGAAAACTTTTCCACCTGGCCGTATCTACTTAAAATAAAAACAAGTTTCAAATATCTATTCTGTTAAGAAACTTCAAGATTACATGAACAATACTTAAATGCTTGATTAGTACAACTGGTAGCTACACTATTCAGACTGAATTATCTCTGCTGTGTAAATTGTTAACTGAAATGTTGATATTTAATTTCTATGATATGAACCAGGAACAATTTTTTGAGATTTATGTATATAATAAATCATTACCCTCACATGCACATTATTTGAAATATGAATAATTGTTTGTGTTAGTCTTTCCAATAATAATTTACCATTGTCTTATATCCCACTAGCACATGCTAGCAGGCCTCAAATATGTAAGAAAGGTTTAAAGAAAATGCAAAGCTGTTGAGAATTCAATCCATTGTGTGTTCTTCTGAGTAGGGATGAAACAATTAGTCAATTTTAGTAGTGACGTACACAGATCCACTGGGTGTCTGAGGATGCATTCTGAACCACTGAGAAAAGGATAAAGCATATGTGATGGTCTTTCAACCTTACTGTGTCAAAGGAGGAGAACCTAAAGAGGGAATGGAAACAGTCTAAGCAGATGATTTAAGAGCTTGGAAGTGAAGGATTCAGATGGTCTCATTTAGCTCAAGAACACTAGAATTCCTAACCCAGGGAACCTCTATTAGCCTCCCACTCTGACAGACTCCAATAAGGCAGGCTTAAATGTCAGGAAAAAATAGATACAAAAGTGGCTTTGATTCTACTGAGTCAACGGAGGGGGAGCCTATGATAGCTGTTCTCCACATCACACCCCCAACGTTTTGCAGCAGCTTTGTCAATGACACAAATGCAGGGTGGCATGAGGCTTTCAGCAGCTTAGCATTTTAATTTGAGGTGGGGGTAGAATAGAGTACATAAGTTGCTTTGTGTCCCCTGCACCCTGATGCCTTGGGGACCAGCCAGGCTGACCAATAGAATCCAGAGCGAGAGTGGGTGCTGGGTTCCCCAGGAAGGGGCAGATCCAGAACAGAGCAGAAACGATGGTAGTCATCTGTATAAAAAGTAAGGGTACTCTAGGTGAGAAAGACGGGCATCAATCTAGGTAACAATCTGGGAGAAAGGAAGAGGAAATAAAGAGGCAGCAGCAGGAAATGATAAAACAGAGCCAGGCACTACAGCCTGTGAATTTGGCTTCTTTTCAGGGTTAATAGGAAGAAGAGGTAGATTAGCATCAAGGATCAGGGATCCACAGCAAACAGATGAAGTCCCCAACAACTCTTTTTGGTGCTGTTTACTGCTTGGCTTGTTTCTGGGACTCAGCTAGATTCTTAGGTGAATGCTCTTTCTCATCTCAGATGTTTACCCTGAACTTTGGCATTAGGGCGCACATCAAGAGGCTTGTTCTCTAGGCCCTATTTCCTTAATTGTACAGATTCTACCTTTAGTAGAACCCCTTCTGAGAGGACAACATTTGAAAAACAATTAAGAAAAATCAGTATAAAATAGACTAAGAATAAAAAATATCAGTGTTTTACCACCGATCCAAGATTAAATGCCTCCCCAGCTTTTGCCAAACAAAGTAACCAGCACCAATGTTTCAAAAGTAAAGGTAGAGAGTCTAGTTTCCAAAGCACAAAACGAAAGCACGCTATGCAAAGCCTGTACCCCCACCCACCCATGAGCCAAGATCCCAGCCCCACTCTGCTGTCAGATAGTTACATAGAAGTCATGTCATTGAGGGCGTGGTCCAGCTCCTCGCTAATGGCCTTGTACTTCAGTTTCTGGGCATAGAGCTCATCTGGACAGGCACAGGAACCACAGGGAGGAATGAGGGGACAGAGTAAAAGATATCAGAAGCAGATGAAGAGAGGGAATCATTAGAAATTAGGAAAAGTGCGACCAATGGGTCTAACACCAGAAAACGTATATGCTGGCAGCCACGACTGGCTATTCTTAGATCCACTGTTTTCTAGGACCAAATGCACTTCTTGATGCCTCTGTTCAGTTGTAGCAAGAATTCAGAACCTGGGCATAGTCCTGTTACCAAAGGCACTCAAGAGGATACCACTCCCACCCACTAGCCCAATTCCTACCAGTGATAATACTGAATTCAATAAACAGAAAAGGGAGAATGCACACATCCACAGTGACATTTCTTTGCCTACCAGCTGTGAACACTATTCATGGCCCCCTTTGCTCTACAAGTTGCCTCTTCAAACTATTTTAAAGAACATTCTAGGACAAAGAGCATACCAAGGGAGCACATCTCAGAGTTCTCAAAGCAAAAGACATTTTCCATTGTCATGGTGGATGCAGTTGTCAAACTGCAGGGACAGGAAGTATGTAGAAAGCCCCTGGTCAGTTCTGAGACAAGGTTATTTTACAGCTTCATCTCTTGGAGAGGTACCCTACAACTTGATGGTGAATGGTACTGCTGAAAGTGGCCAGGGGGTGATATGCATCCTTGCTGCCTTTTGAAATCATGACTTCCATTTCAACTTGCCGACTAAGGATTTAGGATTACTCAATGAGAAGTAAATGCAGATATTACCAATCTCCTCAAAGGGAAGGAGGCAAAGTCCAAAATATTAGGCATTCTTGTTTCATTACTACAGACTGAACCCAGAGGTGCTCTACTGCCACTGAGCCACATCCCTGGCCCTTTCTTTTTATTTAATTTTGAGACAGAGTCTCACTTAGGTGCCCAGGCTGGCCTTGAACTTGCAATCCTCCTGCCTCAGCCTCCCAAATTGCTGGGATTATAGGTGTGTGCCACAGCACCTGGCTAGGTAGTCTTATTAAAGGGAAAGATTACGTATAAAAATCCAATTCTAGGGTTTGATGCACTTCACCTGACTGTGGACAGGATGGGGCACATCATATGTGCCATGTCAGTACCAATTCCCCTTGGTATACAAGAAAAAAGGTACATGGTCAATGGGCAAAATCCTCCTCTATATGTCTTTATTTTAATCCCTCGCCCAGGCTCCATACCTTCCAAATCATCAATTGTCTTTTCCAGTTTGGCTACCGATCTCTCGGCAAACTCAGCGCGGGTCTCTGCCTAGGGAAAACAAAAAACCAACCAGAATGTGAGATGACAAGTCAAAGAGAAGGATATCTATTTCTTCCATTTCCTACCTCCATACTGGATTTGCAGAATCTAAACCAGCCAATCTAAGTCTACATTGATTTCTTAGAAAACGTATTATTTAGCATATATTATTATATAATTATTATATATTATATAATTATATTATTATATAATTTATTATATATTAATTTCTTATATATTTCATTAATCCCTCAACTCACCTCCTTGAGTTTATCAGTGAGAATCTTTATTTCTTCCTCATATTTGTCTTCTTTTTGAGAGTACTGTAAAGAAGTAGAATAAAAGTTTCAGAGTAGAAATTAGTCCTACAGACAATACCCGCCCCCATGACATTTACTCCTATTATATTCTTTCTCTCTTTTTTTTTTGGTTTTTCTGCAGTGCTAGGGATTTAACACAGTGCCTTGTGCATGCCACGTAAGAACCCTACCACTGAACCACATCCCCAGGCCCCTACATTTATTCTTATATTGAATATCCTCTTGTATTTAATATGCTGAATGACCTAAGAGTTACGAGCAAGGCCCAATTTTAGACAACCAGTTCTTAAAGTCCATCTATTTCTTTATAGCCATGATACCCTGAGAGTAGACCAGGACCTTTATTTTTAAACCAGAGTTAAGCTTTGATCTTACTCATATCAATGCAAAGTTTTTCCTTCCTACTGATGAATGAGCAGGAATAAAGACACCCTAAGTCAACACGACTAAAATACTTCCCCATGAAAATAAAGAGAAATCTGTCTTGATTGCTCATTAATCTTAGAACTGATTCTGTTGCCCTATCGATTTACAAGAAAGTCTATTAGGGCCCCTGATCATGCCTCTCAGCAAAGCAGCACCAGCCTGAGAGCACAAGACTCTAGGTGCCCAAGATCATGACGTTATTTTAACTAAAGCAATCAAAGTGCACAGGAGATTGCATTAAACCCAGGATCTGGATGGACAGTCATGGGGAGGAAGAGGACATTTCTCACTGGATTATAAGAAATGGGTATCTCCAGTCTTTCATCAAGGGCAGGGCTGGGCCCAGGCCCCAAAGCCTGTCACCTTCACAAACCAGCCCCTACCTTCTCCGCCTGAGCCTCAAGAGACTTGAGGTTGTTGGTGACATTCTTCAGCTCCTCCTCCAGCTCAGAACACTTACTGTGAACATTTTAAATACCACAGGAGAGGAAAGGGGAAGAGGAAGAGAATAAAAAAAAAAGGGAGAGAGACACACAGACGTGAATTGAACCTATCATGTAGAGAGTTGGAAGGCATACTGGGGAAGAGAAGTTCCTTGGTAATCTGAGCAAGCATTAACCCTCCTCCCTCTACCATGGAACACATCAGGAGCAGCTGGACCCTCCTGCTCAGAATATCTGTACACTAATAAAGAAAGAACACTTGATAGAAACCACTATCAGGAACGAGTCACAACTATCTGGGGTAGAGGTGGGAATGGATGCCCAACCCCAACAGTCCCCCAAATCACCCCAAGGAAGGAGAGACTCTGTTGAGAGGCAGTGAAATAACTGGGAAAGAAAGGATGAAAGATGCCAAATAAGTGGAAAGTATGGAGCATTCCATGAAGAGATGAGAAAGCACTCAACAAGTCAACCGGTGGAGGGGAGGAAGCTGCAAAACAAAACAAAACAAAACCAAACAAAACCACACCATACAAGGAACCTCTCTGTGAGTTTAATGGTTAGTACCTTTTCTTCAGCAGCATTCAGACACTTCAGGTTCTGGTCCATCAGTCTGATCTGCTCATCCATCTCTCGGCAACGGCTGTTAGTGATAGTCACGGGGATGGCACAAGCCAGGTTGTGGGGAGGGAGAAAGGTGAAAAAGGAACACAGCAAAAAAACAAGCAGCAAAATGAAAAAAAAAAAAAAAAAAATCACAAAAACATGAAAAAAACACCACCATGGTCATGATATGTCATGTCTGGGAGAAGGGAATGCAAGGGAAGCACAAATATACATGCATCAGCACTGACTTTGTTATACAGGCCAGGAAGGTACCGATGGGGAGAAGGTAATATCTGCCTCTGCCCGAAAGTTGCCCAGCAGATTGGCAAAGTGGTCAAAACAGAGACCAGCTCTTAAGTCACTAGGCACTTCAACGCTTCAAGGAGAAAGACCTCCCAGGTGAAATGACCCACAGTTATATAAAGGACCCACAGCACCAGTTAACTGTTCACCATTATTAGTCTTTATATTCCCTCAATTTGTAAATCTTCCCAAGAAGAAATCAGCAAGCCTCATTTGTCACCTGGTAGGTGGTCAAGACAGTGAGGAAGCCCAAGAGTCTAAAAGCACTCATAGAAGACTTCTACCTTGTAGGCCCTGTTTAACAAGGTTGAAAGAATGCTCGTTTATACGTATCAGTGTCCAAGCCAAAAGGGAAGGGATGGAACAGTACAACAAGATCTGGGGAGTGAGATACTCACGACTCTGCCAGCTCAGCTCGTTCCTCTGTGCGTTCCAAGTCTCCTTCAATAATCACTAACTTACGAGCCACCTATAAGAACAGATTCAGGTACTGCTCAAGAAAGCAAAGAAGGAACCAGTTCCCTCCTGATTCTTTGCAGAAGCCTGATGTCACTGAATCAAGGAGGACAGACCTACCTCTTCATACTTCCTATCTGCTTCTTCTGCAATGTGCTTAGCTTCTTTGAGTTGGATTTCCTGGAGTTCCATCTTTTCTTCATCTTTTAGGGCCCGGTTTTCAATAACCTTCATACCTCTGCCAGAAAAAGGATGAACGCAGCACTGACACTCCATCCCAAGGGACTCACAGAATGGACTCAAAATTGCACCTTTTAAATCGCATTCCTCTCGGTCATTCAAATAGAAATTCTGTAGCACAACTTGCACACCTGAATTTGCTTCCTTCTTTCATTCTTTCATTCTCTCTCTCCTTTCCCATTTCTTATAAAAATAATAGACACTTGGTAAGAAATTAAATACTTAAGTGTATAGGCTAAGGGCATAAAGTCAAAACTGTTTCCCTTCTCATTTCTAGTCGTGCTCAGAGGTAAGCCCTTCCTCAATCCGTTTCACATAGATACATGCAAAAAACTCCACCCCAACTTCCCCAAAAGAATCACATACTACACTACCCTTTCCACACTTTCCACCATATGGACACTAGTACCCATATAGCTGTCTTGTTCCTTTGCACAGCTATACAGTGTTAGTTTTCCCAAAAGGGCACTTTTAATTCTGAAAAGTCTTAGTTCAATACCATGCAAGTTGTTATGTACCCTCTATTGTGATTTGGCTCTTGACCTTAGTCACACATTAAAATTACTGAGGCATTTTTAAAACAGCAGTGCCTGCACCTCTCTTGCAATTAATACCAACTGAAACGGGGTGGGATCCAAGCATCCCCTTCTATGCACCCCCTCGATTCTAATAGTACAGCCAGGATGAGAAGCTTTAGTGGATTGCTAGGTTCTGCCTCTAGAGTTTTTCATTTAGTAACTCAGGGAGAAACTGAGAATTTTAATTTCTACCAAGTGCCTAGATGTTGTTCATGCTGATGGTTTGAGACTTGACTTTGAGAGCCTATGTTAAAGGGGACTAATCTCACAAATGGAAGTGTATGATCCACAAAGTGGAAGCCACATGGTTACTCCCTTTTAAGGAGTGTTAGGTCAGTATATAGGGGGGAAAATAAATAAATAAATAACATTACAAATGGGTCAGAGGTCTAGGTAACCCTTACTGTATAAAAAGAAAAAACATTCACAAAAACATGAGAAAACACCACCATGGTCATGATATGTCATCTCTGGGAGAAGGGAATGCAAGGGAGGCACAAATATATATGCATCAGCACTGACTTGTATGTGGAAATTTTTGTACCAGTTCTGGTACAAAAAAACAGAAAGAATATGCAAAACAGAAGGAAAGAAGATTATAATATAGAGGTTACCTTTTTTTAATATTTATTTTTTAGTTGATGTTGGACAAAATACCTTTATTTTATTTATTTATTTTTATATGGTGCTGATGATCGAACCCAGGGCCTCGCACGTGCTAGGCAAGCGCTGTACCGCTGAGCCACAACCCCAGCCCTAGAGGTTAGCGTTTTTAAAAAGAGGTCTGGCTTGAAGTGATACCACACACCTGCAATCCCAGCAACTCAGGGCTGAGGCAGAAGGATTGCAAGTTTGAGGCCATCCTCAGCAATTTAGCGAGGTCCTCAGCAACTTAGCAAGACCCCACCTCAAAATAAAAAGAACTAAACATGTGATTCAGTGATTAAGCACCCCTGTGCTAGATCCCTAATACAAAAAAAAAAAGCAGTGGTAGAGCCTGTGTGAGGCCCTGGGTTCAATCCTTAGCACCACAAAAAAACAAAATACAAGTCTCTAGGAAAATTCTGTTCAGAGTCATTATGTACTTGTCTGTTTTTTGCTCTGTTTTTGTTTTTGTTTTGTCAAGGCCTTGTGCATGCAGGGCAAGTGCTCCGTCCCTGAGCTACATCGCCAGCCTATGAAGTGCGTCTGAAATCCATATTCTCTCAGACTCCCCCACACACCTCTCACTCTCATCAGCAGCTTTTTCTGCTTCCTCCAGCTTTTGCAGGGCAGTAGCAAGGCGCTCCTGAGCACGGTCCAGCTCCTCTTCAACCAGTTGGATCCTTCGGTTCAAGGAGGCTACCTCAGCCTCAGCCTGCATTTGAATGAAAGAATGGAAAAGTTAAGCAATAAATTAATGGATGAAAAGAACTAAGACAGTAAGATTGGGGCTGACTACCATGAAGAGGCAAGATTCTAGGGTAGAACCTGTCTTAGCTCAGATGCTAAAAGATCTAACAGACAGGAGGAAGATATATATATGTATCTTCCTCCCTTTCCCACCAACGAACTCCCATATGTTCCACAGGGGGAGTGTTTAAAAACTTCAGTTCCTTGCCAGGCATGGGGGTGCGTGCCTATAATCCCAGCAACTTGGGAGACTAATGCAGGAGTATCATAAGTTCAAGGCCCACATGGGTAATTTATTAAGACCTTCAGTAACTTAATAAGACCCTGTCTCAAAATAAAATTTAAAAAAAACAAAAAAACCCCTCAGTTCCTTGCCCAGATCACTGACAGTACCCCATTCCTCTTGGACTTAGTTCAAATTCCTAACACGTTGGGGTAAGAAAAGGTAGCCCGAAAAGGTTCTTTCTACCTGAGTTCTGACTGGGAGGTACATCTCACTCAGCAACTTTCTTGTAAATGTCTCATAAAATAGAAAATGAGCAAGGCTCTTAAAGAGAAAACCTTGGATTATCCATTATTTTATTGCTTAACTTGAGTTTTTAACCCTCTGATTTCCTTACCCTAAAATACCAGGAAGTAAACAAGCGAGAGAATGTTCACCAGACTAGCCTTCCAGTGGAAAGCAAAAGAATGGAACACTGGAATACCTTCCTCCATGCCTTCAACGTGCCTCCTCAACTCCTTGAGTTGCCAAGGAAGAGCTGTTTCTGGCTAAAAGTATCTGCTTTGGTGACATTACCAAAAACGAAACAATAACAACAAAAACCCACAAGTAAACATTCCACCACTCCTGCCTCCAAATTCCTGAATTCTTTCAATTTCTTTAATCATCCCCTTACCTTCATTTTCCAATACAGTTTATATCAACCCTGTAACTGACTTCCAAGCTTGAGTGAGTAAATGTAAGGTCTGGCTATGGGATGAGAAACAAGGAAGGAGGGAGGCTGCCTGCACGTGGACAGATTCTAAAGGTAGAAAAAGTCTCCTTCCTGTGATTGCTTTAAGTATGCAAGAATTTAATCTGCCCTGCAAACCACCCAGTTCAGATGCTTATCCAAGTGCCTGGTAAACATGATCTCTCCTCCACAGCTCAGACTGCCTGAATTCTATTACCCTGATTTCCTCCTAGTAGGCAGGGTGGCAGCAGCTTAGAAATCTGGGCCACCAGTCCTATGGGGAAGGATATAGCCCAAAAGACTCCTGGTAGCAACCAGGACTGGTACAAAAATTTCCACATACAAACATAGGAGGTTCAAGGGCCAGGGAAGGGGGGGGGGGGCAGGGAATTGGGGCAAAAATCTAACCACCAGACTACAGGGAAAAAAAAAATTGACAAGTCTACATAAGCTGAAACTACTAAGAAAACATTTGTGTCTCTAACCATACTATTCCAGGAAAACATATGTCCCCTAGGACAATACAGATTTCTCTTCCCAGACCAACAAGGCCAATCAGTCAAGATACAGGCTATCAGGCAGGAACTGAGAGATACTGCAGTACAATACAATTATTTACCCCCTTTCAGACACCTAAAATGAAAACACAAAATATGGAACTATACTTGGGAGGAAGCTCATAAAATGCAAGTCCCCACCAGCTCAGTAGTTACCCAAATTGGAGTAGAAGATAACAAGCTATGGGGGCAGGGTTGTAGTTTCCATGACAACAAGCTGGCTCAGGCAGTTTCTCCCACAAATCAGCATTTACAATAGAATTCTTCATAAGGCTGAAAAGGGAGGAGAAAACGCCTCTTGGTTCCCTTATAAGAGCATGCGCACACAAGACTATCAAAAGCAGAACCCAAGATGGGAGTCCCTATGAAGTCTTCAGAGATCCCAAAGGTTGGGGCTCCAGGTCATCACTGTTTTTCCCCCTTTGCCCATAGAGAATCAGCAGAATTGAGATCTGATACTCTTTTTAAAGAAATAAGGAAAACAACCTGACTTTCTTTCCCTTCAAGCCAGAGCCTATGCACAAGGCCTCTCCCTTTCAGGTCAACAATAAAGAAAGTTCTACCTTTTGCAAACCACACTGGCCCTGGGAAACATTAAATTTTGTGTGTTTCTAGTAAGCCTAGATTTTAGCATGCTCACCCAGATATGGTCTTAGCCTTTCAGTCTACCCCCCTCTGGCCCAGCTTGGAAGATATAGTCTGAGGTCTTTCCCTTCAAGTAATAAAAGGATGCTTCAGGGCCCAGGAGGCAAAGATCTCAGGGGTGGTGGAAGTGGAACCCAACAGGAATTTGGTCACATTAGAAGATGGCTGACAGCAACTCCAGCTGTGCCAAAAGTTTGGTTTAAATGCTACCATCCTCCACTCCAGAGAAAGTCCCAAAGTAAACCACACCCCTAAAGGCAAGAAACTGACAGTGCACTGGTTCTCAGAGGCAGAACAGGGCCAAGGACAGAAGGGGATTTGCCTAAATCTGGCACTCTGCCACACTGGAGTTTCTCTTTTTAGATAAAAGCTACAGATGGAATTAAAAGAAAAAGAGAGTACTAGGAAAGTTAAGCTTGAGCCCTGTGCCTGTAAGGGACTGCTGGAACTCATTGTGTTCACAAAAAGATCTACCAGGGAGCTAGATACCATGTCCTTGGGGGAATTTAAATTTATCAAGGGGGAGGGAGGCATGTTGGGAGCAAGGGAATAGAACTGTTTGCTGGTCCAAAAGTAAACAAAGGTGGAGCCTAAATAGAGGCACTCAGAGCAAAGGGCTATTTGCTTCTCCCCTATGAGTGTGCTCTGGTATGGGGGCAGAGAATGGTAAGCAGCAGGAAAGCAAATCTAAACCAAAGGAAGGTGATACCCACCAGACCCCACAAACGGAGAGAATCACTACAAACATTCTAACCCTCTCCAGAGACTAGGAATTGGGGATTAAAGCCAGAATCAAAACAGCTGTTCAAATGCTCACTCACTCCCCTCAACAAAATTCCTAAAATTTCAGGCCAGGACAAAAAGGGGAGGGGGGCTATTTTAAAAAGAGGGCTAGGACTGTAGCTCAGTGTAGAGTTCATTCTCCTAGCCCCAGCCATTTGGGAGGCTGAGGCAGGAAGATCACTTGAGCTCATGAGTTCAGAGTTCAAGAAAAATCTAAAAGACCCCCTGTGGAAAGGAGGAAAAGGTTACAATGTTACATATGTATCATTTTTACCACACAAATCAGGTTAAGAAGACCTACATTTAAATTTTATATTGCCAGAAATACAAAGGAAACTCAAAACTAAAAGTGGATTTGAGAAGGTGCTACATTTAAAAAGGTCCATCTCCAGTTTGAGACCAGAAAAGACTGATCTTTTCAGAACAACTCCAGTGTCTCAGCTTTGATCTCATCCAACTTCACAACATGGGCTGCTGGGTATTCATACAAAGTAACTAAAAAAATAATTGACAGTCCCACCAACAGCCTGAGATATCATCAGGGTGTGCTGAGCTTCCAGCTCTAGAGGGAGGAACCGGCAAAATCCACATTCCAGAATGCCCTTAGGAGAATAACAGGGCTGGGAATCAAGCTTAGTGGTAAAGAGCTTGCCTAGCACACAGGAGGCCTTGGATTCAATTCCCAGCATGGGATGAAAAAACAAGTAGAATAACAGGTGGTTCAGGCATCCCTTTCCCTTCCTACCATCATTTTACCTCAGGAGAGTTTAAAGTTCACTAGAGCAGAAAGCCAAAAGATTATGTTCCCTCAGGCTAAGGAAGAGTAGATACTGGTTTCATCAATATTTAACTATCACCCTACTTCCCCACTTCTCCATTTTAAAAACTTCCTCACTAGACCTCAGCTCACTATGCAAATTTGGTAGGCTGAGTGAGGGAGTAAGCTACTTATGAAACTGCTCACTCTATGTTGCTTATCACCCCAGAATCACCAAGGAAAGGGGGAAAAAAGAGCCAAATTTTCCTGCAAGGAAATTACCAAATCTTGGGACACACAACATCATCTACCCAAAATTATTCTTAGAGTGCTCATATTTAAATGATGAGCCTAAGATGCTGCAGCTCAACATCCTCCATACTCTGTCTTCCCCTTTAAGGCTATCTGGTCTCCAGAGCAAAAGAGATGAGAAAGTGTCATTTGTTTGAGTCACTCAGCCAGTCCATCTCACTTGAATTGAAAATTAGAAGGTACCGGTATACTGAACAGAGGAAAAATCCACCTAGAAAAAGGTAACTGAGGAAGACAACAAGCTGCAGCATTTCCATACTATTATAAAATAAGTATCAACTTGGAGCACAGCTAAGTTATAACTTCCCTTTCCCACCCCTTTCCAAATTTCACTTCTCCCCCCAAAAAACAAATTCTCAGTCACTCCCACTGGGCATGAAGAAAAAAAAAAAGAACCTATCAAGAGGAAGAATATCAAGAAACCACAAGAGTTCTTTCATCAGGTCTTCACATTATTAGCAACAGTTACTTTAGGCTCATCCTCTGAAATCAAAGATTCAAGAGATCAGCTTCACCTACTAGACTGCACCCTAGATCTTGGAAAATATTATGGCTTACTAAAACTAGTCAACCACTTCTAAAAGGAAATCTCAAGAATCACCATTCATTCCACCAGCACTTTATGTTCCAACTTCCAGCTGAACAAATATTGAACTTTAAAAAAAAAAAAAAAAAAGACTGTATGGACAATTAGGAAAGTAGCAACTATTCTGTTTGCATCCACCACATTGCCCAGCTCAATCAGAACTACCTTGAGATTGGCACGGACCTCTGATTCGCTGCCATACACTCCCTTATCAGTTCTTCTTGGAAGAAATGTTCTTAACTAGTTCAGCCTGCACTGATCAAACTTTAGCAGCGAAGGTCTCAATGTAGCAGACGTTCCTGCCTTTCAGGTCTTTATGGGTAGGGCCAGGGAAGTTGGCTGGACGCTACACTTGCACACTGATTTAGG